TCCCAAAATGTGAAAGCTTTCATTCGAGATAAAAATCAATGTGTTTAAATACCAAGTGATAGTGAAAGGATTTTTAAACTAAATTTAGATTTTGCTACAGAAAACAGTTTCTGTTAATGGCTTTAGAGTTGATTTGGGAAGCTAAATTTAATAATAATATTTAAAAGGGTTCAAATTTATCGTGAACACAATCTCTCATATTTAACTCAATATATCAACTTCCTAAAACACTGGATGTCACTTTTCTCCTAGTTTATAATGAAGGGTTTGCTGCTTTATTTTGATATCAGAACTGATAAAACCACATCCTCAGATTCCGAGTAAAGCTCCAATCTTGTGTAAAAATAAGTAGCTCTTTTTGAGATTCTCTGTGCAGTGTTTTGAGCCATGTCTGTCCAATGCAGTCCTTCAAAGTCAGTCTCAGGTGTTCCTGAATGATTGTCATAAGTGTTTAATTAATTGTTTTGCTAAATGGGATCTGGCATTAAGGCTGAAACTACACCAAAGCAGGCCAGTTGTCTGAGTGGATTAGAATTCAGTCCATATGGACGTGGTCAGGGTGAAGATGTTGTTGAGCAGCTGCTGAGCTTTTTGCATACCTGAATGATGTGACCGGCCTTATTGGAGAGTATGCGGCCAATGAATTCATCTTCTTCTCTCTGCAATCCCACACTCCGGAGGTCAAGAACGTTCAAATTATCCCTCTGCGCTGCTGTGTTTGACTGCTTTACATGAGTCACCACAGCAACCAGTAAATGAAATCACTGAAGGATGCTTGCTTCAATTCACAGGAGCTGTCTGCCCGTCTGGCATCCAGCCTCCTCTTTTTAAAGCCGTGTTCCTGCACACTGGGCTTCCTGATGAAACCGCTGATTAGATTTCCATTCAAAACCTCCAACTTGCACAAAACACTGTGACAAAGGGAGCACATGTTTGCCACAGCATTGTCAGTGCATGCGCAAGGAGGGTATCGGCTCCCTGCTAGATTTTGCTCGGCTAACTCAAAAATGCAGTGAACTCGGTGTTGCTGTTGTTGCGTAATCAAACAGCACGTGAAGTGTGTTAACATGCCACTAGCACAGTCCCACTGTCGGTCACTCTGATTGTTCTTTAACCCACTCTGTGTGCTCAGAGTCAGCACTTTGTTACCTACGTGTGTCCTACTGGCTGCACCTGAGCTGTGAGATTAGCCACACTGATCATGTTGAGCTATTATCCAGGTTAAGGTATTACAACATGACAACATGACAGGCGACTGACGGCAAAGGAAAAAGAAAACAAAGTGATACAAGGGCAAAAAAAAAAGTGAAGGAAATATGTAGTGAATTCTGAACAGTCTCCTCCTCTCTGGCAAACTGAGCTGTTTTCCAGAGAATTATGTAGCAATGAAGTGACTCAGTGTGACTGTAAATGCACTTTTCAGGAGGTTTGTATGTCATTTAACCTTCAAGTCATCCAGTTGTATATTTTTACATGTCCTGTTATGAATTTATGAAGTGGGTAAATGTTTCTTACCATAAATTTGTCATTTTACAAACAGCAGGACGTGTGTGTATATGTATATCTATATATCTATTTCTATACATATCTATCTATCTATCTGTCTATCTATCCGCCCGCCTGTCTGTCTGTCCGTCTGTCCGTCCGTCCCTCCGCCCGCCCGTGTGTGTGTGTGTGTATATATAGATATATATACATATACATATATACATACACACACATGTCCTGCTCTTTGTAAAATGACAAATTTATGGTAAGAAATATTTCTCCACTTCATAAATGTTATACACACACACACACACACTAATGCAGTTTGTCTTTCAAGCTCAGGTCCTCCAGCAGAGAGAGGCCTGGGAGCTTGCGGGTCCTGCGCAGTATCTTTGCTGTTCCTAGGACTGTGCTGTTCCTAGTGAGTGGGGGTACCACAATCCAGGATGAGACAACAGACATCCACGAGTACATCAGAAAGATGGCGGCGTGCTCAGTGAATACCTTGGGCAGCAGAAACCCAAGAAAGGGAGCAAGAGAAGAAACCATCATGGAAGGACAAGCCCCTGCATGAGACCCTTGTTCTTGGGATATATATATTTCTATGACTAAAATATATTCATGTATAATGTATTACTATAGATAAAGCCTATAGACCAAGCTTTCAGCAGTATTCAAGTCATTAAAATAATCTCTAGCTGCACTATAAAAATATACACAATAATGATATGCACATTATGATACTGTATGCATACTATTCCTATTTTTTTTAAAAACTCAACAATAAATAAAATAAATAAAAAACAATATTTAAACTGTGGTACAGCCACTTATCATGCAATACATCTCTATGAGGGGGACTGCAAATGAGCCAGAAAATTATACCAAATGAAATGTTTTTTACACACATTCTCTGTATTCATTTATAATCAGATGTTCTAACTTCTGGTTCTATGTGACTCCCAAAAAATGTTTCATCTTCTTGGATATCTTAGAAATGTCCCTGGGTGTGGGAAATTGGAGAATCAAAGCATTCAGTACTTGTCATGGTTGAAGAACAACTAGAAACTGACTCCAGGGTGTATCTTATTTAGGGTAATAAATTGTTTCTGGCACTGACAGCAGGAACACGCAAACAGCAGTACAATGAAAATCACACAGCAAACGTGTTGCAAAGATTTCTATACAGAACAGAACTGCAAAATGTTTTACAACGTAAAAAACACCACTTTATTTTAGAGCTGAAAGTACAGCATTGTAATTTAACAACGATTATTTTACAGCACACTTAAAGAAAAAAAAGTACTCTGCTGGATCATTGACAGCAATGACCAAAATTAAATGGACGTCTTGTCATGGATTTGTTATTATTCCTACGATCATGCTTGCGAAACACTTCCAGTAATCTTGGGGATTCTGATGTTATGATGACTGCAATATAATCCATAACATGCCCTATATCTTGTTGCGCAAAATAATGTGGTCGGGAAAAAGGAGTCAAAGATAGCTTTAAAGTACTCATAATGTGCTACACAACAGAAAAAGTGAAAATCAAAAAAACAACCCAACATCAAAGGGCTGTGATCCTGCAAACGGAAAACGCCGTGTGACTGATGTCTATGATGCATGATTAGATGATCATTTCCTACTATAGGCCATGTTAGGTGTTTTCATGAAATGGGTTTTGTTGTTAAATTATAATAACTATCTACGTTAGCTCTTATTAATATATTCTGTATGTATCCCCCCGAACCTGGATTGACAGCCCTTTGTTTACAATCTCCTCATTCGGATTTATGCGGCGGTACCTGAAGGCAGCATTAGGCATCAACTCTCCTGCGTCACGAGCACCTGAAGCGCGTCTGCCGCGGCCAGGTAAGCCTCTTGCGCACGGACGTTCAGTGGACCTTCAGCGGACGTCAGGCTGAATGAGATGTTCTGTATAACAGATTCCTTCTGATGTGTGATGGATAGATAAGATGATCTCAGTGCGCACATTGACCAAACACCCTCTTGTGTCACCTGACCCCTGACCTTGGGCTCCTTGAAGCTGCAGTTTTTCGGAAGTCGGAGAGTTTGCGATTTAACTCCAAGAAACTGAAGGCAAACTGGAGCAGCAGCGTATGGCTGACTGACTGTTGCGTGTCCCATGATCCTCAAAGATCAAACTTGGACCCATATAAAGGTTGTCACAGTGTCACATCGTGCTTCTCCCAAATTGACGCCCATGGGTGCGTCTCAAATGATATTACGGCATTAATTATGGGATGGCAGATTAGATTACCCACCCTTTAGCTATTTAGCAGAAAACGCGTCGCTTAGCAACACCGCTGCGTTCAAAAGATTAACCATTAATTAGTATCATTTAGATACAGAATTACTCAACATCTTCGGGAAACTAAAACGAACGACAGGCAGGGCGTCACAGATCAGTGCGCAGGTCAAAAGGTAACGGGGCGAAAATGACGGGCACCCAGTAACTCTGGAAAGGGTGACATATAGGAGAGCTGCAGTACCTGTAAGTGTAACTGACGTCTTCACGTTATGAGCAAGCGAACAAAGTGAGGCAACGAGCGGCTGACTGGTCACCCCAGAAACCCCCCGCAGATTATTTTTTCCCTCAGCGCAACTTCCCCCGGTTCAAACTTTCTGATGGGAGCGAGGCTTTCTGGCAAAGACGCGCGCGGCACCAGCAGTTATGGTGTTGCAGATTAAAATAGGAACCGTGGCAGATGGGATTAGACTTAATGCGCCATTTTATATCGTGTAACGTGTCACATTCTGGGCGCTGCGCCCTTGTTTATGAGGTGCGTCCGAATTACAATTAGCCCACATTTCACCGAGATTCCTTTGAAGCCGCCGTGCTGCACTAACCGGCGGGCCACATTAATCTGACCGTCCGTGTTGTGTGCCACCTTTCTCCAAATTAGGCACAATGCGGCGGCGCCAAAGCACACAAAGGTTTAATTGTGCAGAAACGCCGCGTGTCCAATCGCCGAGTGTGTATATGAGCAGCAAATAAAAGCTGGTGGACATGAAATAGTTACACCCACCATGATACCCCCCTCCTCTCTGTCTTTATTTGATTTATCGAATTTTCAGGCTGTGCACAGCTACAGATATGGATTTCATTTTGAAGCTGAGAAACTTTTAATAAATGCTTTTACTGCGCAGCACTCGCTCCCGGTGTGTGCGGGTGCACGCGTATCCGTGCAGAGTCGCTTTAGTTCTAAGTTTCTAAGCTTTAATGTGTCGGTTTTTCATCACTGCCGGGTGGCCGAACCTGGACCGGCGAGCTGTGAGCTCCAAGTCCGGACCACAGCGCGCGAGGGGAGGGAATCCCTCCAGTGTCTGACGCTTCCTTTACCAAGGAAACCCACACGCGCTCGCTGACGCAACTGCCCATTTTAGGAAACATGCGTCAATGGACCCAAGCAAGTCAGACAAATAGTGAACTCCGCGGCAGCACTGACGTCCGTAACAAAAAATAAACCCCTCCACACATGTTCTGGACCACTTTTAGCGAATCCCAGCTTTTCGGTTTTCTCCCTGCTGTCCGCAGAGCGCAGGATGGCGATAACGGATCTTTTCTTTTTCACTGCCTTTTGCAGAGACAACCCCTCCCTGCTGAAGTCGCAACGCCCCATGCGTGACGTAGGCTCTTTCGTTGGTGTTGAAAAGCCGTTGCAGTTCTTCATAGTGCCATTGAAGTGAGTCATCTCTAGGAAGTGTGGTAAAAAGGAAAAGAAAAAAAAAGTTCGAAGTGTTCCGTGAGCAGCAGAGAGAGCTCAGAGGAGTGTAGCTGGCAAGGCGACGGAAAATACTGAGAAGAGTAGAGAGGCAATAGGCTTTAAAGCGAATGTTAACCTGTGTGAGTCACTCTAACTACATGTTTGATTGTCGCTGCTGGATCTGACTGCTGAAGGTGTGCTGCTGACTTTAAGCTGAAGTTTGCGCACCTGAGAGGATCTTTTGCAGCGTAGTGTAGGTCTACCTGCTCCGCTCCAGGAAAAAAACAACAACAAGAAATAGACTCTACAAGCAGGGATAATACACAAGAAAAAAACCCGATTTGTATTATCAGTAAAATGTTTTAGGTCAGTTTACAGGAGCAAAATTGCACTTTTGTTTTTTTCTCCTGCTTTGGAAATTAACGACTTCTCGAATCAAAGGATTTTTTTTTCCCCTGGGGGCCCCTTTTTGCACAGCGGAGATAAAAAAAAAAAAGGCTCTCAGAGCTCAAACAGTGCACTGAAATCTTCCTCTTTCCTGGATCATGTACCAGGACTACTCCGGGAACTACGACACCTCGTCCCGCGGCAGCAGCACCTCTCCGGCCCAGCCAGAGTCCTTCACAAGCGGCAGCAGCACGATCGGAAGTCCGATCTCTACCTCAAGCTACCAGGTAACAGAAGGAAAGGACTGGCTGCAGATTAATCAATTAATGAATGCATTCTGGATAACATGAAAGTGTCAGTTCGTTCTTGTGCGAAGTCCGATTTTTAGAAAATTATTCCATCGTGTTGCTACTTCCAGCCGTTAACTGAATTTAAACAGGAATTTTCCGGGTCGCCTGGAGACACAAATCCAAATGAACCCAGTGACACGGTTCGAATCAGTGACTCAACAGGGGCAGTAGTCAATCTGTGCATAGGTGCAGCCTAATAATATTACAATGATTTTGCTTTTATAATATTTAGACACTGATTATTTTTGTCTAATGTTACATTTCTCCATTAGTGCGCACCGCAGCTGGCGACAATGCGCGAGTTTGCGTAAATTTATGGTACAATTGTCTTATGCCAACAATTTAAAAAAAAAAAAGACATATACGGTGGTTTGTGCGCTGTTGCAGGGAAATTTGGCACACTGGAATGAATCCGAGTCTGTGATTTACAGATGTTAATTTCGCCGTTCTTTCTGCCAAATTCCCTGTGCGTTTGTAAAACTGAAACATTTCTGGGTTCTTTGCGAATTGTCTCACAGAGACGAATGCGTGTAAAACAAATGCACACCTGAGCTTTTTACACTTTTCATGCTGTGGTAATAATAAACTAGCTAGAGATGAAGCTCATAGTGGATGCAACAGGCATTTCGTGTTGGGCTGTGAGGTGTCTGATTTCAATATTCCGTATGTGTTGCTGCAGAATTGATCTAAGTTCCGTTTAAGAGTCCACATGTTATTATTCCACATGGAATCAGAGTCTAATTCGATCAGGCGGGTCTCGGGCTGCACATGGCACGTTTTCTCCAGCTGGAAACGCGCTCTGACTGGGAGCGCAGGGCAATCAAAAGCCCGTTCTTCCTCGCTGTGTTCACGGTAGTAATTGTAGAGATGCATCTAAAACACCAAAATCTCATAAGGTTACGCTTTTACATAGTCTGAGTGAGACTTTAGATACAGTAGAGGTGCGTCAGTGTAATGCCGTGAAGACGCGGTATCTCAAAAATACGAGGATATAAATCCGGGAACAGGCATGTTGTTTACCCCCACACCCTCTGCCGTGCAATTCTGTGGAAAAGCCTCCTCAGGCTCACGCAACATTACGGTAAAAGACTTTTGGACAGCGTGTATCATTGCTCTGGTTCCCTGTAATCACACGCTGGCTGCCTGTTTCCCATTACAGGGTTGGAACATGAACTCTTCGCTAGTTTATGGAGACATATGAAAACGACCCCCCTCCTCCCGCGTGTTTTTGTAAGACCAGTATCATTTTAATCGGACTTGTTTGGCTCTAATGTCATGATTCCACTGAATGTCCTTTGTAGGCAGTTATTCATTTCCTGGTTTATATGTATTGTAAATTCCAGTGCTCTTATTCTGAAGCCAAACTGGCCCAAAAATTCCACTCGCATAATTCTGGATAATATGCCTGGCTTGTTACAGCTGTCTGCTTCCCCCCTTACTGGAACTGACCGCGTTTCACATGTGCTCGACAAATGCAATACACAATGACTCACCAGATAAACAAAGTTGCAAGAGACTGCCGGGATATCCGACGGAAAGTCGGGAATAACGGGGATGTGGGGACGTGCGTAATTTACGCACACGGGCTGGCAGTCCTCCTTTTTGATACCAGAAACAATGATCTAACATCACTTCTCATGTTGATAATGTTTGTACAAGACCTTGTTGCACAAATGTATATAGGCACGATATGTAAAATGTTTGTCTGTATGACAGCCTGAACAAAAATCTACCATTCTGGAACACATTATATCTTCAGATGTTCTCACAAAGCAGTGACTGCATGTTTTTGTTTTTTGTTTTTTTTCACTATTCTCCCCTCGATTGCATGTTTCTTTTTTAAAAAAAATCTTCTGTGAAATAAATTTAATAAAGTTTATTCCATTAAAAATATAATTTTACATTTCCCACCTGCCCCGTCAAATCAAAAGTGAACTTAAGAAGATGTGAAATGGCTATCTAGTGCACTGTTATGTCTCATTGTAGTAAAAATGAGATGCAGTGGACACCTTGGGCTTTCCCACATGAATCACTGCATGTGTCACTGTTTCACTCCAGGGGTTACATACAGTGTTTCGCCTATGTGGACTGAATCACTACTATAAGCTTGAAATGTGGAAAAATGTGTGAATCTGATGACGGTGGGTGGTGGTGTGTGCATCTCTGTGATGGTACTCTAAGCACAGCAGAGATGCTTCTGGAATAGATCAGAAGCAGCACATTAGGAAATAAATCTATCCTCTTCTGGAGACTTTTACCTTCATCATGCATCCCTTTTCACCATCTTTTCCCTTCTCTTTCCAGAAGTACAGGGTTGACATGCCCGGCTCCAACAGTGCCTTTATTCCCACAATCAATGCAATCACGACAAGCCAAGACCTGCAGTGGATGGTGCAGCCCACTGTCATCACCTCTATGTCCAACCCTTACTCCCGCTCCCACCCATATGGCCATCACCTGACCAATGGTCCCAGTCTGCTTGCGCACAACCCACTGGCTCGGCCTGGGGTCATCCGCTCTATCGGGGACACCAGGAGAGGACGCAAGAGGGATGAACAGGTAACGAGCCAAAGCTAACCACTGCAAAAAAAAAAAAAAAAAAAAATCTCTTTGATTGCTTCTCTGCTCACACCGAGCTCCTATTTATGCTCTTCGCTTCGTATTGATTGTGTGCGTGTCTGTCAAATACCTCATTCTACCTTTCATGCTCTTTCTTTTCTCGCCCTTAGCTGACCCCAGAGGAAGAGGAGAAGAGGAGGGTGAGGCGTGAGAGGAATAAGTTAGCCGCGGCAAAGTGCCGTAACCGTCGGCGGGAGCTCACCGAGATGCTGCAAGGGGTGAGTAGAAGACCTGCGCCAGGAGATCACCATCAAAATGTTATTGTTTTTGTCTTCATAGAAAAATACCACAAATCTAAGTGCTGCAGCATCTTGTGGTGAGAACCAGTAGCCAGTAAAGCCCCGTGGTTCCTGTTTTGTTTTGTTTTTTCTGCAAACCTTTTCATTTTTAATATTTTGTAGCAAAACAAAAAGGAAACAGAAACATATTTGCATACACAGAGAACACGGTGCACTTGTTTAGAGGCCTGGCAGGAGTCCAGATTCTTGATGAGTGATTGAAGTCCACACCTAAATTTACAACCTCACATTACTGGTTTGACTCTCGCTGCGTCTCTGAGTGCAAGGTCTGAGTGAAGAGATGACAGGCAATGAAAAGCTTTTTGTCTCGGCCAGCTGTAGACAGAGGTAGGGCTGTCTCACAGTGCTGCCTGGCAGACAGTAACGGCATCTAAATGGACTAATTACCCAAATTACAGTGAGGTTGAGCTTGTCAGGCCTTAAAAAAAAGAACCCAGGAATGGAATTTGCTGCAGGCAGCTGTCTCCATGAATGCAGGACATTTTGTAAAAGGGGCAAATTGCTTGTCTCACAATCCCACATAGGGGTATACAGCATGCGCGCACACACACACAGTCATACAGTCACAGCCAATGCTTCAAGGAAAAACAAAAAATTAAACTGCATTATTCATACACCTGCTTTAAAAAAATAGAAACCAAGGAGTGTTGCTTTTCAGTGACATTAAGTTGGAGTGTTCGAACTCTCTGAATAACTGACACTATCACTTTAAGAGTCTCGCTGTGCGCCTCCTCTCTTGGCTCTTCCCGTGCCACTTCCTCATACCTTTGCCCATGAGTCAAAGTTCTCAGACAGCATGTCAGCTTATCTTTATGTCTCATGTCTCACGGCCGATGAAAGCCTTTATGGTGTGGATTTGTGTCTTTTGTGTCTCACGTTAATGACACACTGTTTGATGCGGATCTCATTTCTCTGAGACACAAACAAGGCACAGTCATTATGTGGCGCTCAAATTCAAGCAGAAGGCTTCGAGATTACATGTTGTTAGTCCAAATGGTTCATGACAAATTTCTGGGTTTAATAAAATTGTGGCGCTTGGGAAAACTGAAGCGAACAGACAGTGCCCTCTTTTGGCTTCTCAGAGAACCACACGTACAGTCTGGAAACTTCACAAGTGCTGAAGATGATTTTATCACCTCATGTTCATTAGTAAGATGTTGCATCATGTTTTTATTAAGTTTAAACAAATCGTCTACCACTCTTTGGTGGCCTGGCGATAACAGGGATGAAGTTCCTATGTATTTATTGTCTCTGTATTTCCACTGTCCAATTAAGGAAAAATGCAAGTGGTAGTTCTAAACTTTACTTCATATTTTCATTCAACAGGAAACTGAGAAGCTGGAGGAGGAGAAGGCAGACCTGCAGAAAGAGATCGAGACCCTGCAGAAGGAGAAAGACAAGCTGGAGTTCATGCTTGTTGCCCACAATCCCGTGTGCAAGCTGCCCATCGACGAGCGCCACCAGCCATCCGGGCAGCAGCAGCAGTGTAATCCGCTCCCACTCACCATGCGCACCAACATGGGCACACGGGCTCAGATGAACCAAGTGGTGGTGAAGCAGGAGCCCGAGGACGGAGACGAAAATATGGGCAAGCTTCACCGCTCAATCATCAAGCCCATTTGTCTGGGAAGCAGCAGCATCGGTGGCGGGATGTACAGCCCAGATGGAGACAGCCTGAACACTCCAGTGGTGGCAGCATCTACTCCGGCTGCCACACCAAATGCTCCAAACCTCATATTCACCTACCCCAACATGGTGGAGCCCGAAAGCCCCTCGCCCTCTTCTGAGTCCTGCTCCAAGGCCCACCGGCGCAGCAGCAGCAGCGGCGACCAGTCCTCAGACTCCCTCAACTCACCGACCCTCCTGGCCCTCTGAGCGAGGGCTCGTCTCGGCGCGGCTGAGAAACAAACACTGTGGCTGAAAGCAAACACAAGGATCGACTGCGCGCCCTCGTCCCCACCCTCCCTCCGGTGTCTTTAAAGACGCAAGAGCACACTGAAAAGTCCAGACCAAGCTGACCATGTGAGCCGTTTCCCCCCTTTAGAGGGAGACCCACAAGGGCTACGCTGCGTGTTTCTTCTCGTTCTGCTTCAGTGTAAAAAAAAAAAATTTTTTTTATCCGTCAAAGTGTGTGCACCGACTCTGAAAAGCATCATCCCTTCACCATTTCAACTCCAGAGTGTCAACGTTTACTGGGCAGACAATTCTGAAGAAAGACATGCCTGCATTTGGCAGCCGTTGGTTGATGTGATTACAGCAAGAGAGCGTGTTCTTAATATATATATATTTTTGAAAATGTTCAAAAAGCCATGTGTCCGACACTTGCACTCTGCCAAGACGAATCAATAAATAAATCACTAAACGAGGTCAGCTTTCTACTGGAAGGGGAGAAAGAGACAATGAGCAAAGACTTCCTCTCATCTCTTTTTCCACTTCGATTTGTCCTTTCAGAACTCGATTCAGGAAAAGAGTGTGTGCACATTCCTGATGTTCTTTCCATCTCTTTAATTGTATTTATGGCCTGTGCTGATTAAATTTTACAGTGTTTTGTTAAGACATTGTCCTCTCCTTTAATCTGCCTGTAGAAAAGCAAAGCGGTCATCCGCAGGGTGACCCGAGCACTCCTCAGTGTTGCAAAGGATACGAGCCAACTTTCAATCAACGACTAGTTCCTACTCTCTACTTTCTATTTTGCCATAGTGGCTTGACTTTACAGTAGTATTGGTGTGCTTTTCCTCAGTGATTCTGTACCTGAACTTTACAACCTGTTTTTGACAAAGTGTATGTGATTTACATTGATGTCAGGGATATCTCTCATGTGTAGTAGAACCCAGTTGTGAAGAGCGTTGCAGGACTGCTGGCTGCTGATTGGTCTAGCAAAAGTGTTGCAGAGGTGGTACTTTACTAAACTCCGTCGCTTCAAGAGAGGTTCGTCTTTTCGGTCGAAGAGTTTGAACGAAACCCTCCTCGGCTTCTTTGTG